AATTTATTAGGGGTTTTAAAGTATCCTGTAAATATTCAGGTCATAGTCTTAAAAGATTATTAGACCAGAGGTGAACTGGTTTTATAGAATTTTGTATTATTTATGAGATTTTGGAGCGATTTATGAAGTGTTATTTTATTTTTTTAATAGAACTCTTAAATCAGATGTTTTCACTCATGAATAAGCCGAAGCAACTAGTCTTTTATCCCAATGCGTAAATATAAATTAGATTATATTGACCATTATAATTTAAGAAATAATAATAACTATAGACCCACTAAATAAGTATCTATAGTCAATAGGTACTAGTATAGTGGATGCTAAAAATTGTATTGATTTTACAATTGATATATTAAAAAATAAATAAAGTGATTATTACTTTGATTTGATTGGCTGAAAAACTTATATAAAAATTTAATCTCACCCCTCAAAAATGATCAAGGATACGTTAGACGCCTTTAAAACTTCACGATTTTTTAAAAGATAACAAATTGCAATCTGATTGTGAAAATGACTCTAATTGGAGTTCTTTAAAAACAATTATTATTAAATTATTGTAGATCGTTTTTTAGATAGATATACCTAAGATGATATAGTCTTCTATCGTGTCTAATACTTGTCCCTCCTTAATCCTGATTATTTTATATCAGATAAGAGGGCCCCATTAGAATGATTATTTGACTTAAATAAAAATGAAATGGCAAAGGGGTGCAAAAGTTAAAAAAATGCATAATTTTAAAAATATCGTAAATATTATGTATAAAAAAAATAACATCTTGCACTTAAAGAATTCTAATGCTGCTCAACAGCCATCATCATTGGTTTTGTGAGACTTCCTTCTCTAAAATAAGTTCTGAGCACTAGAGAATAGTTGAAAGATCGACATAAACAAAATTTAGTGCTTATGAAAAAAATAACACAAAATTTATCATTATTCATTTATGTTAAAATTTAAAATTAAAATCGTCATATTATATTATAGTATATTTTATACATATTCATATTATAGTATTATTTTGTATTGATATTTACATTACAAATTTTTAATAAAAATAGCAAAAAATTTCTCTAAATGCCTAACTATTTGCATTATTTTAAAAAAATATGACTTCCCCCCTCCCTTCACTTAACCCTTCAATACTCCGGTGAAAAAAATGACGTTAGTACTCGGGTGGGGTTTAATAGACCCCAATTTCAAATGTATATATCTCCAGTTATATTCATTATTTTCATTTGATATTTGGATATAGATCTAACCTTAAGCTTGATAAAATATTTTAATATTTTTATTTCTTAAGTCTAGATTAAAGATAATGAAGATAATTATAATTTATGCCAAAATGTTTTAAAAAAAAATTACTTTTTTTAAATTTCAAAAATAAATTAAAAAAATAACTTATCCATCATATAATCTTGATAATTAATACTATGGATCTTTATTCTTCAATATAAAAAAATAAATTACACTAATATTCAAATATAAAAAAAATATAGAACATTGAAATATGCTCAATTTGACATGCAAAACATTTATTACATAAAATATTAATGTGTTCTAAACATAAATTATTTTACATATTTGACAAACATATTTTGTTCTTTTATAAGGAGTATAGTTTTATGCCATATTTTGATGGTTTATTTGGCATGTATTGCCTGAATAGGCATTTACCACGAAATGCTGGAAGCATTCCATCTAGGGTTGTATATGATATTGTATAAGATCTGTAGCAGTTATCAACAAATTCTTGAAAAATATTTCTAATGTAAGTTGCTTTGTCTACCATTTTTCTCTCTTCTCTTGTTAATATGTCATCAAATCTTATTGTATGAAATTTTTTTTAAATTTTAAAATTTTATTTTCATAATATTGATATTGGTATAATTTTTTAAAAAAATGATAAAATACTAAAATATTAAAACAACTATATAAAAATATGTAAAAATATATAAATTAATAAATAAAAATATATATTAATAGTATCGAAGGCTCTACAGAGAGCTTAATTTAATAATAAAAAATGTGTACCTAAAAAACAAGTATAATTGTGTTTAAAAATTTCCAATTGAAGTTTTTGTTTAAGAAATAAGGATTCGCGATTTCGTTTGTTATGCTGAAAAATTTTCGTGATAATGTTTTTAAAAAAATATATGTAGACTGTGAAAAATTGCTGTAGTTGAAATGACTATTGGCTGAAATATAAAGTTATTCAATTTTGAATATTTATTAATTTTTTTTATTTTCCCCACAAGTAAGAGGGTTTGTATTAATGGATGAAGGAAAGGATGATACGCAGGTTGCATCCCAAATAAGGGATTTCCCATTGAACCAGGGGGTGCAGGTTAAGCTGTCGGTTCTGAGGCCGTCCTGTAATGAGAGGTTGGTAGGTTCAAGGATGTTAGATATTTTAGCCTTATTAAAAGCGTTATGTATGATTTTATTAATTGCTTTATGCCGGAGATGGCGACCTTGGCTGTGGGTGCAGTTTAGACCGTGTCTGGCGTTATGTTGAACGGGGCATTGGTGGCAAGAGTGTGAATGTGTCGAGCATATAAATATTAAAAATTAAATAACTTTATATTTCAGCTAATAGTCATTTCAACTAACTGCAATTTTTCACAGTATACATATATTTTTTTAAAAACTTTATCACGAAAATTTTTTAGCATAACAAATGAAAATCGCGAATCCTTATTTCTTAAACAAAAACTTCAATTGGAAATTTTTAAACACAATTATACTTGTTTTTTAGGTACATTTTCATTATTAAATTAAGCTCTTTTTAGAGCCTTCGATACTATTAATATATATTTTTATTTAGTAATTTTACATATTTTTAAATAGTTGTTTTGTATGAATTAGAAATCTGAATTTTTTTGTCATTGTTGCTCTAAATATCTCAATTTCAATCCCAACAGATTTCCATAAATCTGACATATTTTGATGATTTGATTTGAAAATTCCAGCTAAATAAAGAATTCCCAATAATGCCTTGAATTCTATAACATCAACCTCTTTAGTAGAACTTTCATATTGATCAGTGTAGTTTTTACTTATAATTTTAATTTTTTGTATGATAAATAATTTCTTCAATCATTTTTGGTGATATGAACAAATCAAAACATTTTTCTGGAGTCAGCTTCTTTCCCATATTCTTTTACTCCTGGCATATGAAAAATTAAATTTTGCTGACGTGTTCTTACTCTTTGATTTACAATCCTTTTTCCATTAAGTCACCTTATTTTTAGCTAATTTTACAGAGAAATAGATATGATAAATAATTTCATATTTACCCAAATAATATTAAGTTTATTGTCTGTTTCAACTAGCATATCTTCTTCTTCATCTAATTCAGACTGTGTGTTATGATCACTATCATAAATAAAATCTTCTTCCTCACTATCAATTACATATAATCACCTCAAATAAAATGATATTACATCTTAAAAAATTTTTTATTTACTATCAGAATCTGCAAAAATCATATTATATGATAAAAATAATTTGAGAAATGAGCCAGATGGTGAAAATAAGAAAAAAATTCCACTAAAAAAATTGTTTAAGTTTTCTTTTTCATATATATCAGTAGTATATATTTATAATTTTAAAAATTTTTTTAAATAAATTTCTTAAAAAATTTCAAATTCACTTTGGTGGGGTCTCACAAACCTCAATCAGTCACAAAATACTTATATCTTAAAAACTACTCAACCGAATTATATGAAATTTGGAATATAGATTCTAAGATATATTTGATGAAGCTACTGAAGAATCCGGATCATAATATTTAACCATTTTTATGTAATATCATTTCTATGCCTGGGGTTTCATATACCCCACCAAAGTATTGAAGGGTTAAGCAGTTGCTCCTCCCTCCAGCGAAAATTCCAAGGCCCTGCATCTATGAACAAAATCTTCAGAGTTACATAATATTTTTTGGCAAAAATCTTAATCGGGCCTTTTTAAAAATCGACCCAAATCGGGCTTTTTATTAACTATTATATTGTATAAATTTATCTATACATATAATTTCACTCATGATATTGATTTAAATAATTTGAGAATGGTTGAACGTAATTTCTAACATATAATGGATGCTCAGCGTTAGGATTTTCACTGGGTGCAATACCCCTTCAAAAGCCTATGCTTACCCCCCTAAAAAATTCAGCCGTCTTCACCGGCGATATTCCCACATTATTAATTACACCTTTTTAATTATAATGGTATTCTCTTCACAAATTTTAAAAAGAATAACTTAAATTATTTTAGCTCTACTACCAACTATCAAAATATTGTGAATATAAGAATTATTTTTTAAAACATGAATTCAATTAAAAAACCCCTAATTTACAATGAATGCACTATTATAGTATAATGTTTTGAATATGAGTTTGCTGAATGTCTAATTTAAAAACTACATTTAAAAGTATATCAGAAAATTTTATTTGGTAATGTCTATTATTGTATGCAATATTGATTTGGTCTTTGATCAGCAATATTATTGGATAATAAGGTCTCTAATAAAAGTATTAATATTTATAGCATTTTTCCTATTTCATCTAAAAATTTAGTAGATAATTCCCCATACACCCCCTTAAAGGCGCCTACTCTCTCACAGAAAAAAATGCAAACTGTTCCTACCCCCCCCCCTCCTCCACGCTCATATACACACTGTAGTTTATTTGATAAATTGGGTAACTGTCTAAGTTGGAAAAAAATCTTGAGTCCCAACGGTGCCCTCAAGTATGACTGTGAATATGAAAGAAAAATTTTAATATAGTAAAGTATTACAGGAATATCATTTATAAAAAAGTAACATAATTTTGAAATAATTTACTATAAATTCACCTCATATTACACACATACTTTCTATAATATTTTTCAAAGGCTAATTCAATTTACAGTTAGATAGAATTACAAAAATTTGTTTTATACTCTTTAATATTTGAAAATTAATTATGAAAATATTACACTTATTCTCTTCATCTATAAAATTATTTATAAATTTTTTAACTTTTTTAAATATGAATTAACATTTTATTCTATTCTATGTATATAAATTTTATTATATGTTATATTTCATATAATATTAATTATCTCAACTATTTATAAATCGGTTTGATATTGAAATGGCCTAATCATGACGACCTTATTTTGGGGAGATATCAATTTTCCTTCTTCAAGGGCTGTTGACGATTATGAAGATGAAAGTGAAGAGGAAAAGGAGTAAATTATGAGTTTAAATTCCTTATATGATTTATTTAGGATTCAATTTACTGTGGATATGAATTCACATCATCAAAATATCTTTAAGTCAATCCATGCAAAAAGATTTATTTTCGCAATTGGATCAAACGCAATCGGTATTATTTTATGACAATCATATTAGTAATTATTATATATTATTAGCTTTTACTAAAGCATATATCTTACAAAAGTTTAAACATGAAAAAATAGGTTCATTGTCAATGCATGTTAAACATTTCAAGGAAGATAAAAATAATACAGTTTATTATATTATTTGACTAACCTACTAATAATTTTAGAACAATACATTTGTGGGACGAGACTGTTTTTTGTATCATATAAATGAAGGATATTCCACAATAATTTGTCATTTTGACTCAAATTTAAATACTGAATTTCAACAAGATTTTGTTAAATATGTAAAAAAATAATTACCATATATAATATAGGTTGCGTTTTTCAGATGTTTGGATTACTTGGTCAAAATACACCACCTTTGTTTATAATATTAACAAATGTTCATATATCAAACCTAAAAATTGATAAAATACCTATACCAAATCCACCTTGTCTGAGGTTTCTTAAAACAGATGTCAATGAGAAGGATGAAAAGAAATTTAATTGTATTCCTTATTTGGAACAACCTAATATAATATCTGGTATGCCTGCTTCGAGTATTAGCATAATATTATATATGTATTTTATTTAATGATTGAGTTATGACATATTGTCAAATTCACAAACTAACTGGATATCTATACTTGGTTTATTCTGAAACATTTATTACTGACATTGTCACAGTTAATGCATTTCTATCTGTTTTGAATACTCAAGAATTAAAAGATTTCATTGTAAATAAAATGTCAAATTCATTCATATATTACATATTATTTTTAAATAGACTATAAATGGAGAAAATATTAAAACCCAAAAGTATCTAGAAAATATTATACAATCAAAAACAAATACATCTTTGTTTATTTGAATATTATAATTTTATATGTAATATTTGTATGTCAGAATTAATATAATATGTATATTATCAATTTTCTTTCAAGTTAAATGCTAAAAAAATAAAAGCAATACTCATAACTATACCAGAAAAACTTATCAAGTTGATTTATGGTTGTCATGATTAAATCAATTTCAATATTTTAAACATAGACATGGAACAGAACTTGTAAAAATATGGAATACCAAAGAAACTAGAACTTATTTCAGGAATATTTTAGGGGACAGTTCTGGATTCCAATAAATAATGATTTTAATATAGTCTTTTTTATATTAAATATTGGATTGACACTGATATTTTTAGCATTTTGGAAATTAGTGAGGTCATGGTCTTTGTTCTGGACTGGGCTATGGTCTTTTAAAAATCACTCCAGACTATAGCCCTATATACAAATACCAGCCCAAGCTTGACCTTTTTTTTGGTATATTAAAAATATTTCTATTTAATTCTTGTTTTATATAATTTTTTTATTTTATAAACAATTTTATAATAATAAAAGGAACTAAAATACAATTATTTGCTGTAATGTTTAAAAAAATAGAAATGTTAAAAAAAACCTTTCGCACTCTAGTTGTGGGTACTATCTACAATGGGCAGGTTTTAGTCAAAAAGCCTCATTGTTTTGAATTTTTATAGCCAACCTGCTATAATTATTTTTTGATTTTATATCCCATTGATTTATCTATAAATTTTGTTTAACCCACCTGCCTGCCTAATTTAAATATTTTAATAGCTGGTTTTTGGTCCTTTATTTATTTAAATGCATTTTAAATTAAACTTATAATAAGCAAGATTATGAAAAACAACTATTATTTTTAATAAATTAAAGTTGTTCTGCTTATTTTTCCTGAAAAATATTAAAAATTTATCTGCCCACACCCACCCACCTTTTTATTTTAAAAATATTATTATACAGCCCATATTGTAAATATTTAAATAAAAACATCCATGCTGCCAAAGTATAGGGGGGCTATAACCCCATCCATTACAGACCTCTAGTAGGTGTAACAGAGCAACACTATGTTTTCCTCATTCTCATCAAACTGTTTGTGGGAAATTTATATGAAAAACTCTTTACACATTTGTGGGCAAGCTGCACATACTTGAATGTTAGTGTTGTTAATTGGTTCAATTTAGGTCAATTTTTTAAAATAGCCAGATAAAAATCTTAGCCAAAATAAATATTATGTAAGCCTCGAAATTTGGCAAATGAGGGCCAAACCCATCTACCACCTATGAACAAAATTTCCAGGCTCCCATAATATTATTTTGGCTAAAATTTTAATCCGGATTTTTAACAACACTTTTGTACACATAACTGTTCAATACGATTTGGGCCAATTCATACAAGATGGGATTTTATATTTTATTGGATTCCAAGTGTTCTAGCAAATTTTTTGAATATAAATGATCCGCTCGAAAAATTTTTATAGTTGATAGAATTGATTATTATTATAAAAGAAAATAAAAAGAACTTTAGATGAATTAAAAAAATAATTATAGAAATAAATAGGAAATTTATATATATGTTTAGGAAAGTTCCAGAATACACGTCTCGTTCCATAAATTTTGCTCAAAGTTCAGTTTCATGTCCATGATATGAACACATTATTTTGCATTGCTATATTTTAAGATTACAAAAAAAATATATATACTTAGGTTGTTGTACAATATTTTTAATGTAAAAATTAAGTGGCCTAAATCATGTTTTTAAATTTTCTGCAATATTAATTTATATTTTTATAATTATAATAAGAAATAGGTAGTTATATTCAAAATGGGTAGTATGCAAATAATTTGGTAGGAATTATAAACATAAAAAAATTAGGATCAATTAACGGGCCACACAATGGTATAAGTTTCGAAATTGATCCTCAAGCCGTTCCGCCAGCCTAAATAATTCTGCCAACTTCACGTTTTTAAAACGGTTATAACTCGGTTATGGTTAATGATACGGATATGCGGTTTGGAGATTATTAACGTACATAATGAATAATACATAATTTCCAAGTTTCAGAACATTATCCTTTTTATTTTCGGTTTTAGCAAAGTGTCAACACTTTCTTATTTTGCACATAACTCAGTAACGTTTTATTCCGCTGATTTCCGGAAAGAGGATCAATTAACGGGCTACACAATGGTATAAGTTTCGGGTTCCTCAAAAGCATAGAGAATTCAATTAAAGTTTATTAAATTATAAATGCTATGTTTGAAAAAAGTTAGTAATTACGTCAAAATTGAACAACAAAAGATGGGAGGATGTATTTCAGAGGAGCACCTTACCAAATGACATAACAAAATATTTAAATCTTAAAGTAACGAGTTTGATTTGCATAATTTAGCAAGCTTTTAGGGTAATTAGTTTAGTTTATAATTTATTGTATTACTTTTTTTTATTATTAATAGTTTCACTTTTTATTTAAATATCTCAATTGAGGGAGAGAATATACTTAAAACAGATATTCTACTTTGGTAAAAAGGACAAGAAAAAGATTTATCAAAGCTATATAGATTAGCTAATATTGGTAATTCCAGCAACTAGTGTTTCTTCTGAACGGAATATGCAATGCATTGCTGGATGGTTTTTAGATAAAAGATGAACTTGTTTAAACCCAGTAAATGTGGATTTGTTATTATATTTGCATTTATAAATATTAATTTATATTTTTTTTCATAAACATTTTATTAAATCAAAAAAATTTTCATTCGTTTTTTTAAATTGAATACTATTTTATGCTTAATATAGAAATTTCCTAAATTATAAAAATACTTTGTAGGGATTTAGCGCTGAAACTGAATAATATTTTTTTAAATTAAAAGAATTAGCATATTTAGCTAGCGTGAGTAATTTTTTTTATAAATAATGGATATGGGGGAGGGGGTAAAAAATTTTTGTAGGTGGGCTATTTTTTTAAATATTGGGTGGGTTTGTGGTCTAAAAGCTCGCTCATTGCAAACCTCTAGTCGCGACAATACCTATCGTTCTCGCAACTGATCAGCAGAATCAAACATATATGAATGAAAAGAACTTCTTGACTATCATACCTTTCTGCTAGTCTGTAATGGTTTCGTTCTGTATAAAACTGGTTATGAATCTCTGAAATCTCATATCCTACCTTTTAAATTGTTATTCATATCTTGTAACTTTTCTGTCTCATTGCGAGGATTCGGTCTTGGCCAGTCGAATCTCTTGCCTAATCAACTTTGCAGGACTTCAACTAGTAACATTGTTCGCCCATACGATATGTCTCCGGGACATCTCTTAATCCTGTATAGCTCCGTTCATCAACTTGGTCATACCTAGACCTGTGCGCCGATGTCTCAATTGACGGCGGCGGTTTTTTTTAAATTTTTTATCGGCGTTCGGCGGCGCGCCGATTTCGCCGCCGCCTACTAAATTGGCGGCGGTGGCGCCATATTTATTTAAAAAATTTTTTTAAATAAATTTAATTTATAAATCAATGTATTACATTTTTTTTATAATTTGGAGCTCTTTTCTAACACATTGTTAACATAATTTATTTTTTAAATTATTTCCTGTCTCACTTCAATTTAAATTCATGTATTTTCTCATTCTCAGAAATAGACTAAGGAATTGCATTTTCACTCAGATCAGAGTCACATAAACAACACATATTAGTAATATTCTATTGATTTTTATTATAACAAATATATATTTGGAATGCAAACAAAATATTAAGTAAGAAATATAATAAATCAGAATTCAGATTTAGCTAAATTATAATTATCATGAATTAATAGAATTTTATCAAGATTGGTGGGACATAAAGAAGTCCTTTTTGCATTGAGTATTAATCCAGCAATGGAAAAAATTATTTCGCTGGGTGTACTGGTTGCAGGTATACAAAGAACCTTCCTAGCTAAGTTAGCCAGCATAGGAAGTTCCAGTTGCTTTTTCTTCCAAAAGGTAAATGCATCCTCTTCTGGGATATTATTTTGGCTTAGCAAAATATGGCATTCTTGTTCTAAATTACTTATATTGTTATAATCACTGCCTGGAATGCAATGTTTACGAGCTATTTTGGCGATATAAGAACTGGAAGTCTCTCCATTATCTTCAACTTGGATTTCACTTTATGCATTTTTATCATTTTCTAAAAGTTTTAAATGTCTTGTTAAAAATTGCAATGATGTAGTAGAATTTGAATTTAAATATTCTGACACAATTTTCAGATTTTGAAATCTGGGATCAAGGAGAGTCGCTAATATCTAATGTTAAAAATATAATTTTATTAATAAAAATATAAAATAACTTGAAGTTCAGTAATAGGAAACTTATGGTCAAGCTTTTTTTGCATATTTTCTTTTAAACAAATAATATCTGAGGAATCAGATATATTGATCTGTATGTGGGTTTCTATTACACTGAGAAATAATAACCCTAGATTTATAGTCGATCCCTTTTGGGAGGAAAGAAATTCCACCGACTCTCGGAATGGAATTAATACGGCATAAAGCTCGTCAATCATATCCCATTCATTATTAAAAAGTTTTAAACATTGTTTTCCTATTTTATTCAAAACATTATTAATAGGATTTTTGTTCACGCTACGAACACTTTCTAGCATTATTAATATGCTGTGCCAGCGGGTAGGGCAATTTAATTTTAACGTTTTTGTATTATATAGATTGGTTGGTGTAATGACATTTCTATTATCCGCTTCGTTATCAAAATGGTCATCAAGGTATGGATCAGAATCATCAATATCCAAGATATGACCTGTCTCATAAATTGACTGGAGACATTTACGATGCTCATCTTCAATTTCACATTCCAAATCAGCTACTCGATATCTGAGGGCTGAAATAATTTCTCTAATTTTTTTAAGGAGATTATCAATTCTGGCAACTTTTTTTATGCCATCAACTGTAACCAAATTATGTAGTCCATGGCCTAAGCATAAATGATGCTCATAATCCCCCAATCTGACGCTTCTTTTGACATTTGCCCCTGCATCAGTTACCATTTGTATTATTTTGGCTTTTAAATGAAACTCCTCTTCGATACCATCAATCTCCGATAATATGGTTTCCCCAGTATGCTTTTGAGTCACATTTCGGGTTGCCAGGGTAAAATATTTTAAATCAAAATTTTCATCTAAATGATGAAGACTAAATGTAATATAATATCGCCGCTTGAAATGATCGGTCCATAAATCAAAAGTAATGGAACAGAATTTTGGACCAGCATCAATCAGGTTTAAAACATGTGCCTTTATAGAACAATAAACATCATCAAGTGCTCCCCGACTAATAGTTGTCCTATTAGGCAATTCTGATGAGGAATCAATTATCTTATATTTCCATTTTTTTACGCAATTTATTTTTTAATAATCATTTTATTTAAATTTTAAACCTTTAGAAAGTCTGTCATCCCATTATTGCTTATAAAATCAAATGGCAATAAATCTAAGCAGCACATCAAAACATAATTTCGCCCTATTAGAAAAAAGATATTTAAAAAAGAGAAACAAATAAAAAATTTGATTTAGTTTTGAACTTTCAAAATAAAGTTATACATAATTTAATAAAATACATTTTTAGTTTATTCATTAAAAAGATCTCAAAATAGAGCTGACAATAAACAAACTAAAAATTTAGTTGTTTTAAAGTTTTACATAATTATTTTAATAAATTTAAATTATACATTAATTTTATGCATTAAAAGTATCTCAAAATAGAGCTGACAATTAACAAACTAAAAAATTAGTTGTTTTAAAGTTTTACATAATTATTTTAATAAATTATATATTAAGTTTGTATATTAAAAAGTTCTCAAAATAAAGCTGACAATAAACAAACTAAAAATTTAATTGTTTTAAAGTTTTACATAATTATTTTAATAAATTTAAATTATATATTAAGTTCATACATTAAAAGGATCTCAAAGTAGAGCTGACAATAAACAAACTAAAAATTTAGTTGTTTTAAAGTTTTACATAATTATTTTAATAAATTTAAATTATGCATTAAAAGGATCTCAAAATAGAGCTGACAATAAACAAACTAAAAATTTAGTTGTTTTAAAGTTTTACATAATTATTTTAATAAATTGTATATTAAGTTTATACATTAAAAAGATCCCAAAATAGAGCTGAAGTTTTACATAATTATTTTATTAATTTAAATTATACATAAGTTTATGCATTGGATCTCAAAATAGAGGTGACAATAAACAAACTAAAAATTTAGTTGTTAAAAGTTTTACATAATTATTTTAATAAATTATATATTAAGTTTGTACATTAAAAAGTTCTCAAAATAAGAGCTGACAAAACAAACTAAAAAATTTAGTTGTTTTGAACAAATAGAGCTTAATAAAATTAATTTAACAAACCAGTTAAAAATTTAAAATGAATATTAATAAACATTAATACTAACCTAAGAGCCATTTTTTATCTTTTATATTCTTGCTACATGTTGGCGTTGGCATTATAAACATTTTTAGAGTTTGAATGGATTTATTATTATTAGTTTTTTCTGATATTTTATGCACATTAATTAGGTGACGAGAAAGGTTACTCGTACTTATATTTTTGCTATAACATTTGATATCATAACTAAAATATAAATTATATATAAATATAAGCCTAAAATTAAAATAAATTACTGTGAAAATGGATTATTTTTATCAGAATCTTCCTCATCTTTTTTCTCCAATTTTAAACAAGGTTCACAATAAATAAAATCAGGCATTATCGTGCTTTTCTTATACTTCCACACATAACTTGATTTTTGATTAGTAGAGAGAGTTGTTATTTCATAATTGTATATAGGGTGGTTTAAAACGCGCAAATCCATAAAAATAATTAATATAGCCGAAATGAATATGGTGTATGAATGAATGTAAATGATATACACTATTCTATTATATAAAGCAATAGAATACAATTCATGTTTTATTATATTAATGTTAATATTCAAATTTAAATAATAATAATTTAATATATAAATATAATTATCAACATTCTAAATATTATACACGCCGCGCCGCCGCCATAAGAAAAATCGACGGCTAGCCGGCTCACGCCGCTGATCTCAATCGGCGGCTGTTCCGGCGTGAATAAAATTGCCGGCGGCGCACAGGTCTAGTCATACCTAATATGAGTAATTTTTGATTAGCAAGACAACTGGTCTCATGTTATGAATTGTAGAATTTCATGTTAATTTAGCTAAACATTTATCGTGAATGTTTATTACCGCGAAACCCAATAGAGAAAAACAATACTGCGATTATTGCTAATGATTATTTTATTTCCAAATATTTATTTTTAAAACCATATAAATTGAATAATATTTTAAAAAAATGCGTTGAAACATCAATTCAATGACAGAGATTTTAATATTAACAATTTTTATAATGAGTAATGAACTGGGAGAGATTTCTGAGTTTAGCCGATATTTATTGTCTGATTTTATTTATTTATTAATTCAACAATCAGTTATGCCTCACTAAGAAAATTACAAGCTAAATAAAAACTATAACATCTTACCTTAGACTGTATATTTAGGTCATTCGATTTAAAATCAATTACATCTATAGTATTTGTTTTCATATTATTTTGTGTTAAATCAGTAGTGTTTGTAAGGGGGAAAGTGGGCGCAGGGGCTCGAGCCCCCTTACAAATTAGAATAGCCCCCTGAAGCAAATAAAATATTTTTTAATGGAATCTTAACCCCTTGAACTAAAAATAAATTTTTTTGATTGCCCCCTGAACTCTTTTATAATTCTATTAAGTAATATATAGATTTATTTTATTATTTAAAAATTAATTAGACTGTCTAATTATTTATTAAATGAATACTATTTTATATATTAGATTAGATTAATACATATAAATTATATTTTCACTATGTCAGCTTGCAATCAAATTTGTGTTAAAAATAGAATATCAATATCACTCACATATTAATTTAGCATTAACAGTTGACGCTTAATTGACTATTATTATTTAAATTATCATATAACCCTAATTAAATAAATACAATCATTTATTAATTGAAAACTAAAAAAATTAATTTTATAATTAGCCGAGTTCAAAATGACAAATCTACTGTATATTTATTTTTAAATTTTATCATCATACCTTCTCCTAAAAATATTTTCTAGGTCCATATAAGTATAAGAGATTTCTTTATAAAAATAAGTAATTAGACATATAGTTTATAATCCTCTATTATATACAGTTGTTTATAAAATATTAGATAAAATGCCACTTTTATAGACGTATTTGACGGTTATCTATTATAATAATCCTCAAAAAACGTCAATCAAATTTAGCCAATAGTTTTCTTTTAAAACATATTTGTACAATAAAAATGATTATAGCGTAATCGGTCCAATAGTAATCCTTACCAAGCTCAGCATTCATACACTTACCATTCATTCACCACATATCAAAGCAATGGTATCCAGCAACCAAGTATAATTTTTTCAGTTCTTATATATAATAATATTATTTTTATTAGATTCTTCAACAAAACCCAACTACCAATATAAGAAAAAACAAACCAAGTTAAAAAGCAGAATAAGCAAAATGCATTGTTACCATCATTCCAGAGGTATGTGATGCTATATGGAAAACTTTAAAATATATTCATATGCCAGTTCTAACTAGAGAACATTGGGAGGATATATTAATATATTTTTAGATTGCACAAAAATATTTTGACCTGGCTAATTAGATGGTAAGCACTTTATATCAAAGTAAATTTTTAAAATTAATGAATAATTTTTAATTATTTTAGAGTTAGAAAAACCAATATCAAACACCTTAAAAAACTATGAAACCTTATCCTATGAAAAATACCAGTCCAGAAGCAAAACATTATAAGTTAAGTAGTGATTGAATGCACATTTGGCATAACTACTGATAAGTTTGCCATTAATTCTAAACTAAATCTATAAAGTGCTCAGTTGAAAATGCCTGTTAAATATATTATTGATTATGAAAAAATTGAATAAACACCTATAATATTATACCTATTCCTGAAAATTTAGGGATCAGTAGAACTTTAAATGCATCAAGTACCAATTCAAGAGGAATAAGATATTTATTTAAAGACTATTTTAATTCTTGAATTTATGTATAAATTTAACATTTGATATCATTATATATTAAACTAGCTGATAGCCCATCAAGATTAATGGGGAATAATTTTCTCCTTTATTCAATGATTAATAATTAGAAATTTTCCTATTTAATGGGATCTTATTCAGAAATTTATATTTATTAAGATGAGGGGTTATTTTAAAATTTTTCTAAAATTGCAAATAAATGAATAAAAATTTAGTTCAAATGATTTTTTATTGTGCACATAAATTAAAATTACTAATGATGGGCTAAATATAATTAGCACTGCCTAACCTACTATTGACTCTTAACCAAGTTCAAGAATCTATGAGTCATAAGTATGGATTCTTCCTTGTATCTGACTATTTAAATTTTTAATTTTTATAGGTAAATTTTAACTATATAGATGAATAACAATAAAAAATACAAATTCTCTTTCACCTAATAATCTTATCCTTTCAATAAAAAAGGTAACCTTATTTTTCATATTCTTTTTAATTTTATATTCATTTTTAATACAAAAATTTTCATGACTCAGTTATATATTTTTCATTTTATCAGACTTTAGATTTTTATAAGTAAATTTATACCCTATTTTTTTGTGACATAATAATTTACTATGTTATTTATATATTAAGTTATCTATATTATTTTATATAGATAAGAATAACAATAAATTCTCATATACCTAGGAATCCTATCTTTAAAAAAAATATGATATTATTTTTTATATGTTTATTTTAAGATAAGTCAATTTAAATTATATCTCACAACAGAGAAAGGATCAAATTCAATAATATAAAATTTACATCTATTATTCTATTCATACAAAATAATTTAATTACTCATTTGCTTTCAACTATTCTTTTGTAAGAAGTTAAATTTAAAAAAATTAATATTTTAAATAGCAATAAATAATAATTAAACAAAAAAGTTAAATTTAAAAAAATTAATATTTTAAATAGCAATAAATAATAATTAAACAAAATATAAAACCTTTTTAGAAATGAGAATAGTTGGAGGCAAATGAATAATATAATCATTTTGTTTGTATAGATGTAAATTTTATATTTTTAAATTTGATCCTTTCTCTGTCTCTGTTAGATTTAATTGAAATGGACTTATCCTAAAATAAATAGAAAATAAGATTGGATTCCTAGGTATATTGCTTATCTATATAAAATAATATAGATAATTTAAAAAATATATAAATAACATAGTAAATTAATATGTTACGCAAAATTAGGGTATAAATTTACTCATAAAAATCTAGTCTGAAAAATATATACTTGAGACTCAAATTTTTATATTTATTAAGGGTCAATGATAGGTTTGATGGTGCTTAATAGGAAAAATTAATTATTACAGATCCTTTATTGGTGGGGATAATTGAAATAGACTTATAAAATAAATGAAAAAATAATTTAGTAAATAAAGTTACCTCTTTTATTGAAAGGATAGGATTATTAGGTAAAAGAGAATTTGTATTTTTAATTGTTATTCACCTATATAGTTAAAATTTTATAAAAATTTAAAATCTAAATAGTAAGATATAAAGAAAAATCCATTCTCATGACTTATAAATTCTTGGACACTAATGACCAGTATAATACTTACCCCTTTTAGACCCCCAGCTTTATAAATATACAGTTATATGTTTTTAAGATTGGTTATTTAAATTAAAAGGCATTTAATAGCTATTCTATAACACTTTATTATTATAGGATAAATCTGATATGATTCGCGCTTGCTCTAGAAGATTTAGGAAAAAAATTCAAAAGATCTTATTATATAAAGGTAGAAAAACTGGCCAAGATCCAAAATATTCCTCCCCTAAAAGCTATCTCCTGCCTTCACACGGTGGGGAGTAAACAGCAATTCTGACTAACAGGAGCTCTGGTAAATATTGTTAGTATTTAGGGTGCTAATAAGAGATATTGTTTCATTTTTGTAATTTTAAATATAAATTTCTAAATCACATCTCAAATTATAAATCCCCGTCATTCTTGACGGGTGATCAGTGTGATGCTAATATGATATATTTTTTCATTTTTATTCATTTTTGTAATTTAAAATATAAATTTCGAAATCACATCTCATAAAATAGGAAAATTTCTGATTCATCCATCATCAAATAAAGGTAAAATATATTATTCATCAATCATTGAATAAAAAAGACAATTCATCACTCTTAGTCTTAATGGGTTAGAATTGGCCTGAAGGAGGAGGGGTAAAAAGAATTATCGAAAAGAACGAATAAAATTCTCATCCCCGTCATTTTTGACGGGTTATCAACTAGTATAATATATTACAGTTAATATTATAATAAATTTTACTAATAAATGCTTTTGATAATAAATATAATAACAATTTGCATTTAAGTATTTAACGCTATCTATTTAGTTGTAAATAATTTTAAAAATTAAACATTTTATTATTCATCCTACAATAGATGTAATAAATTTGATATCTTTTCTTCTATTTTTTTACATGTTTTTAGGAAATCTATTTATTTTTCTTTTTCGAAAAACAGTTTTGAGTTAAATTTTTATATATTTTTGATATTATTACAAACTACTATTATTTTAAGATATGATATACCAACTAGAGGTGGTGCGACAATATATAAAATCTTAATTGTTTCATCATATGATTCTGGTCCTTATTTTATAGTTAGAAAATATTTCATTTCTAATATGGCATCCTAGCTGAAGAAAGAAAGAAGGAAGACGTCCTCGGAACACTAAAATAAAGAAATATTAAAATGTTCATTTATTTACTTTTTCAATCTACTATTTATATATTTTTTACAAACTTAAATTAGAATATAATATTAAAAAGGTTAAGTTATAAAAATAAAAGGTAAAACTAAAATAAAAATAAATTTGAATAAGTTATTAATTAAATGAATGCGCGATTTGAATAAACAGAATTGAATGAATGTGGGTTACATTATAAACATATACTACTTATTAACCAAAATATATAATTTATTAATTTCTATAATATAACACTTGCCGAGTAAATAACTCTTGGTTTCAATATATTCGCATAATTATATCTTCCAAAGATTTTTAATGTTTTTATATTATCAATTTATTCAACATATAAAATTCTGATATTAGTTTACTTCGAGTGTCATGGCTATTACTGCAAATTAACCAGCATCTATTATTTGTGTTGCTATGTAATTTAAGATTATTACTATAGCTGCTGAGAGCATATTTTAGATAAACAATAATGGTCAACTGTGTAGTCGTTTGTATATCATTTAAAATGGAAGATAATCTTTTAGAAATTCAATATCTCACAATAATTTTCTCGATTACTTATCTAGCTTTCATCATGTCATCTAAAAGGAAGCTCTAACCACCATATAGTTTTATGATTGGTCGTTTATACTCTCTTCTTCAAGAGTTGGTGATTTGGTTTAGGCCTATAAATTTTTCCTTATTAGTCCATTCTATAAAACATTGTCTAAAATGGTAACAGATAGTTTCATGACCTTTTGTCAATGTAAGTTCCTAAGAATTATCTTGCCTTATATCGTTATAAAAACCATTATCAATTGAGGCATTTGTATGAATTAATTAACCTTTTTTATCACTTGTAATTCTTTAGACGCAAAGTTTTTTTAAATCAGCAATCGAAAATATTTTTTTACTGTAATAAATAGATTTTGTATTAAAAAATATTTTTAGAAATACCTTATATTGTTTAAGTAGTTCCAGTGAAAAAAGCTATTGGAAAGTTGAGACTATGTGCTGATTTTCGAGTAACTCTAAACAGGTGGGTTGTTGAAGTTAAATATCCATTGCCCCGAATTGAAGAAATTTTGGCTAGTCTAAAAGGTGCAAAATATTTATCTAAAGTTGATTTTTCGTCAGCTTATTTACAATTATCTTTGAAGGAGGAAATTCAAAAATTATTATAGATAACTACACCTAAAGGATTATTTGCATTTTGTAGGTTACCATTTGGATTAAGTGTGTCAGCACCTATTTTCCAACGTACCATGGCATCTGTTTTTCAGGGGCTAGAAGGTGTATTTTATTATATGGATAATGTGCTGATAACTGGGTTGACGCCAGAACAGCATAATAAACGCCTTGAAGAAGTTTTTAAAAGAATTCGTGATAATGGCTTGAGGGCTAGCAAAGAAAAAATTGTTCGGGGTGTAACTGAAGTAATATATTTAGGTCATCAGATTAATGGGGTTGAAGTGAAATCTCTTTGATAAAATTTTTAAAAATATATTTAATATGAATCAGCCAAGTAACAAAGCTGAAGTACAATCATTTTTGGGCATGGTGAATTATTATCATCGTTTTGTGGAGAATTTTGCAAAAGTGGCATCTCCATTGTACGATTTATTAAAAAAAGGGGTTCATATTGAGTGGAAATTTGAACAACAAAATGCTTAGAAATTTTGAAAATGAATATTGGTGAAGAACCTATTTTATTATGTTTTAATAATGATTTAGAAATAATTTTAGCAGTGGATGCATCCAATAAGAGTGTTGAAGGTGCATTGTTACATATAATTGATGGTTTAGAAAGACCAATTATTTTTTTTCAAGAATTTTTTATGAAGTTGAAACTAGGTATTCTGTTATTAAACAAGAAGCCTTAGCGGTTATTTTTGGGTTAACCAAGTGTCGTGAATATTTGATTGGTAAAAAATTTGTGATTTATACTGATCATAAACCATTGATTCATTTGTTTAAAAAAGATAACAAAGA